CAGTTCAAAAATGCGGTCCCGAAGCGCGGGATGTGAATCTAGGACCTTCAATTGCTAGTTTACCAGTCAATAAAACGAAACATTTTTTATACGCGATCACTCTTCTTATCTTTACGATTTTTCAAAATCTTCCTGCCTACGGAGAGCTTAATCTGTGATTGTGTTGCAGGTACTCGACCTTGGAACACATCACGTTCCCAGAAGAAGCTGGTAAAATCGCGGGAACGACGGCAAAGCTAGGATGCTCTTTAGCTTGGACAGCCGATGGGCATGCTTACGCTTGGGGATGTGATACGAGTGGTCAATTGGGTTTAGGCCTGAAGGACGATGATGAAAAAGTTAGTGATGCTCTTACTGATTTTTGGGTTCAACTTGGATATTACTATTTTAGATCGTCCCAACTCCTCAGAAGATCACGTCAGCTCATCTGGATGGTTTCAAGATCATGTCCGCTTCTATATCAGATAACCATTGTTTATTTCTTGCCAAGAAATTATAAGATGAAACTTGCTGCAGTAGCGATTGCAAAAGCAAGTTATGCCGTTCCGAAAGTCTCTTACTCAGATCTTCATGAACGAACTCATTTCGATGTTGTGATTTTCGCTTCATCGTTGTTGCAAGTTTCCAATTTATGAGTGATTGTTATTTTGAATATATTTTGTCAGATAGGCGCTTGCTTATCGTTTGTATTGGAGCATTTTTCACGTATACATAAGATCTATCCATGCCTTCTAACTCTTCCTTTCATTTGTTATTTTACCTCATGTCGTGCAATTTCTATAGTGTGTACGTATCCAGCTAGTGTGCGTACATCCAGTCCAGCTATGGCTAGTGTAGGAGTTGTAACGACTACCTGTTGCGTGTCCTCTTATGGGAACTTCGCGAAGGAGTTCTTTGCATCTTACTTGAGTTTTGATATGTAAAGGCAGTGGACAGGGAAATTGACCCTTCTCGGATTTGGGAAAGTTAGGTAGTAGACCTCCCAAGTACAGCGTAGCCCAAACTCCACCTGCCAATTCATGCGCTAAGTCTTGA